TGTGTGTGTGTGTGTGTGTGTGTGGCTGTGTGGCTGTGAGGGTTGAGCAGACCCTTAGGCCTCAAACCTTGATCTCCAAAGACTTCCTTATGGCTAATTTTTCCATCTACTCCACAGCATTAGGATGATGTTGGTATGTGTCTAGTTGCTTGGTGTTCTGCGCTGGTCTCTGCTGCACTCTCAGAAAAAAAGGTACAAAAGCTGTCACCATTTGTTTTGTTTTTTTGTACCATTTAGGTACACTTTAGGTATTAATTTGTACCTTTTGGGTACAAAGGTGTACCTTTTGTAAAGGTACCGCCACAGTGACAGATTTTGTACCAGCTTTTTTTCAGAGAGTGTGTAACACTCAAGAGAGAGAAAAAAATTGTGCAGCTGAACTCACAAATAACGTACTCCCACTTGTTTAGTTAAAGATCACAGGGGTCTGACCTCATTAATTAAATGTTTGACCAACTATGAAACTGTTATGTTAAAGTGACCATTTATTGAACTTTATTTATTGAACTGAATATTTAAGATTTTTTTACTTTACTGGGATTCCCCTCAGCAAGGGAAAGGGGGGGGGGGGGGGGGGGGGGTGGATGATCTGGCTGAACACCACAATTCCATTAATAATGCAAAAAAGGTATAACCTTGGCCATGTTAAAATGAACATTAAATAAAAGCACAAAAAGCACAAGGATCTCGATAATATGATTTCCTCCTGTGAGATATATTCCTCCCTTTCCAGTTATTCTTGTTATTTGATTTATCGATATGGTGTTGAACTAGAATTTTACTGAATTCCTCCTGTGGGCAAAGGATCCTACTGGGTATCAGATTAAAATCTGGAGAGGAGATTGGGGATAAAGCCATGTGTGTATTGCAAGATGGAAATCTAATCCCGCTCTGAGACGATGTATGACACAGCAGTATCACAGATAACTGACTGCTGCTGCTTCTGTCTGGGAACAGCAGAATGAGCTGTGCTGCAAAGCTGCTTGCTTTGTCTTATCATAATAATCTTTTTTTTTATTACATTTTAGTTTATTTTATTATTATTTTTATTTCCGTTTATTATTTTATTTTATTAACAAAATGTGTAGAAGTGTACAGTGTGTGTGCGTGCATTTACAGTGTGTGCTTGCTTTTTACAGTGTGTGTGCGATCATATCTATATATATGTGTGTGTGTGTGTGTGCGCGTTTTTGTGACAAATGAGGACATGAATTTGTATAATGACAAAGGTATGACATATGTATTACAAGGAGAAGGTGACTTTTCAGGACATTACCCCATGTCCCCACTTTTCAAAACGCTTATAAATCACACAGAATAGAGTGTATTGAAAATCTGAAATAGCACAAAGTTTCCTGTAAGGGGTAGGTTTAGGGGTAGGGTTGGTGTAGGGCGATAGAAAACACGGATGTCCCCACTTTTCACAAAAAACGAACCTGAGTGTGTGTGTGTGTGTGTGTGTTTATTTTATTAAAGTGTATTAAAAGTGTATAAAAAATGTATAATTCAGTATAATTCAGTAAATAAATGCCAGCAATACAGTCTGATTGTAAAATGTCCATAATGCAGTGTGTGTGCTTGCTTTGGCTCCATCATCAAGGAATATTCTGGAGTCTTTTTCCACCTGTTTCATGTCCAAAAATATCACAGGGTTTTGTCCTGCTGATCTGTTTTATTGACAAGGTTAACTCAAATAGATTTGACTTGTTTTTGACTTTACTACTTTATACTTTAGTTCTTAAAATGTTGTGCTCCGCAGAAAATTACCGCAATAACATCACCCCATTCCATTTACTGCAGAGAGCAGGCCAGAAAAATGAGAATCTCGGCCCTGCCTGCAGGCAAACAGCAGATACTCTGTCATTCCTCTATCAAGAACATCATTAGATATGTTGCACACAATAGAATAAATCCCTGCTGAGAGAAAGAAGCCTGTTGTTAGGGGAGAGAGAGCAAAAATGTGGGACTTGAAGAGATCCATTTTGACCCATGGGGTTGAACAGTCTGCACAGAAAGCACAAACAAAGTACAAAAAAGATCTGAACATCAAAGTTGGCATTGTGTGGATGTGTCTGTGTGTGTGCAAGCAAGTACATGTCTGTGTCTTTTGTCTTTCTATTTTCTTTCTGGGCCTGAAACACTCACCTTTTGTTTTGTTTGCTTTATTTCTTAAAACACCGGCAGCCGAGGAAGTGAAAGAAAAAGAAGCAGAGAAACCTGTGGCAGAGGCTGAAAAAGAAGGTCAGTACATAATTACAGTGCAGCTATTGTTTCTAAATAGAGTAACTTATTATATTTTATTTATTTATTTATTTATTTATTTTCATTTTTATTTAAAAGCTCAGTACACAATTACAGTGTAAGTGCTACTATTGTCCCCAAGTAGAGAAAATGTAATTGAATTTTATTTCAGTTTATTTTATTATTTTTATTTTATTTTATTTAAAAGGTCAGTACGCAATTACAGTGTAAGTGCTACTATTGTCCCCAACTAGAGAACATTTTATTTACTTCTTTTTATTTTATTTTATTTTATTTTAATTTAGAACCATACACAATTACAGTGTAAGTGCTGCTATTGTCTCTAAATAGAGAACCATTTTATTTTATATTTAAGTTTTTCTTTTATTAAATTTTTTGTTATATTTTTAAAAAGAGAAGAGTGTCAGTACACAATTATAGTGTGTATAGTGTTGCTTAATTTAATTTAATTTTATTATTTTATTTGAATTTGAATTGTATTAATTTCCTTCAGAAATTAGTGACAGTGACTTTAAATACACATTGAGCAGCGCTATACCAACGCAGATAGTGTCTAGTTACACTGGATTGTGATGGTGGTTTAATGCGCAAAAGCAGCACAACTGTTTAGTGAATTTATCCTGATGTCATTTCATACAGAAATCTGCACAAATTCAATATATGAAGTTTCAATGGCAAATCAAAGTCATAGTGATAATATCCTATCTTACAGCTTTCAATGCCCCTGCTGATCTTAATCAGAAAAGAGTAAATATGTTTTATTAGCTAATAAACTTCTGCACCAAAGGTCAGTGAGAAAACAGAGGAAGGAAGGAAGAATGCATGCTGTTTTAATAACACAGATCATGTACTCGGCTGCAGGGTTGACTGATATCAAAAATGGCATTAGCATTTAGGGTTAAAGGCATTTTGAATGACACCTCCCTGTAATTCCCCGCGAGCATGTAAGCAACACAATCAAAACCGGCTTTTTGAATTTCAATATAATTAATATTCAAAGATACTTCTTGGAATTCTTGCAGCTGCTAAAAACATTTCCCTGCTTCTCAGCCAGTATCCTCAGATATGTCATTATTGTTAATCTCCGTTTGTTGGCGAGGTTGTCAACCTATTTTTATTTTTATAAAATAAAAACAGGTTGACAACAATAATCCCTACAATAATCCAATCTCTTTACTGATGGGGTGGCATTTAATCAAAAATTGTCACATTAATTCTGAAAAATTTATGCTATCCAAACTTATAATGAAGGTGTCATATTTGTATCCTGTGATTTACTACCACCACTTTAAAAATTAATTTCGGTAATAACATTTTGATTTATGGACATAAAATCTGGCATTGGCCTCTGATGTCATAAGCACATTATGGGTTTTAATGATAATGACATCAATATATTAAGCTGTAGAAGACATTTATCTCCGTGTTTGGCTGCCAATGTGATCTTTATCATCCTGTGTTGATTTATACAAGGCTAATCTAATACACCTCTCATTAGTCTGTGTCTTTTTTGAACACTTTCATCATTTTTTGTTCGTGTACATCATAATAGACTTTTTGCAATTGATTTGATTGTGGTGTTGACAAGTAAGTCTGAGTGTGCCAGCAAAAAACACACAACGTCAGAGCCGATGTTTCATATGAGATGGCTAAAATAGGCAAGAAATGAAATTAATCACTGTAGTCTATAACGACACTCACTATTTTGCATTTGTTTGTGTCCAGACAAACAAAAAGAGCCCTCTACCTGTCCTTGTATGCATTCAGTAATACATAAAGAGCCTCAAAAAGCCCAAGACACTAAACCAAAGGAAGAAAAAGGTATTTGGTATTGACTTGCAAGGTCAATATCATGCATGTTGTTTTAAAATATAATAAAAGTGCCTGGGCATATTTTCAGTTTTCTGCATAATAGAGCCATTCACACTGGCCATGTCTCATGGATAAATTATAGATCTAGAGAGACATGCCGGTATCTTTGTGGTATCTATTCTAACAAATATTATGAGCCTTTCATGAAAAAAAAACAGCTGACCGAGAGGTATTTTGTATTTTGCACATGCAATAAAGTGCATGCTAAAAATATAATCATGAATTGGTGAATGATGTGTACCTAAAAACAGATTTGCATCAGTGGTATAGAAGTGAATGAAAAGGTGGATGTACTATACATTTATGAAGACAACATATGCACGCGCACACACACATAAACACAAAGGACTATAAATTGTGCATACAGAATTATGAACCATATGGGTAATTTCTGTATCAGCAGATACAGAAATTCATAGATATTTGCTCTCTTACTGACACTTACTCCTTACTCTAATCTCATATCATTCTGCTTTCTACTAAATACTATTCATTTTACAATTTAACTTGGTTGTGCTTACAGAACAGAATATCAAAAACAAGCTGTGCTTCGAGATTAATTTTTGTTTCTCTCCCTAACCATGTCTGAAATTGCTAGACAAAAGCAATGTTTGGTGGTTTGTATTGCTGAATAGAGATTTCTAATGTTATGCAGACAAATATGTCCACTCACAGTCGCCATCTAGTGGAATTAAGAATTAAAGGGCTACATTTATTGTCACTCATTGTCCTTTTTCTCCTTTTTCCTTCCAGCTGAACCTGATAAAGTAAAGAAAAGAGGTGTGTTTATTCAATAAAATACGTTTATTGTAGCTAATAATTATTTATTTTCATTTTTATTTTATTTATTTATTTACAGTTACAAGAAGTTAATAATAGATACTTTAAAAAAAACTTTAAGTATGTTTTCTTTGAGTATCATGGATTATGCTTGGGCATGCAAATATAGTGTATATAGTCTATAAACAATCAATTTAAATAGTTTAAGTAAAATAGCTTTTTCAGTAATGACCTACATATTTAGTCATTATTTAATCATAGGCATGAGACCACAGATTTTTATACAACAGTTCTATAAACATAAGTCAATAACAAGTAACTTGTAATTTATAGCCTGTTATTTTGTCTATTTGTGTTTATCTATAGCTTTGGAAGCTTAATTTTAAATGAAAGAAAAGTATATGATCTCATCTATGACCTATAATAAAACAGTAATCTGTTTTAGAGGACATCACTGAGGATCTTTTATCAGTAAAACAGCTGCATTTTTTTCTTACTTCCAATAGCTTTGACATACACAATAGTGCCCCCTGGTGCATATCTGTATATCTTTTTTTATTTTTATTTTTTTTAAACAAAACCCTGACTCTTAGGAATACTTTAGGACATTAGGTATTTCTGCTTTAATGTGCCAATTTGTAGAGCAGTATAATATATTGCAACATCAGTTGTGTATAGATCTAGAAAATACTTTTGTCATCAGTGTACAGTAGGCTTTCAGTGATTTCGTCATCATGAAGTGACCTGTTGCTGCAGACAGTTTTCAACTCTCTCTAAACAAAGCAGTTTTGTCTGATTCAAGTCGTTGTTCATGTTTTTCATTTCACAGATAAAAGAGTCACCCTTGAGCACAAGAGTATGTGATGCATTGTTTTGTTTGATTAAAGCTGGTTTAGCTCAAGGCAACTGCCAATATCTACAGCAAACTGCTTGCTTTAGCAGTACAGCTCAGCAAGCCTGTGCAAAACTAGAAGCAGTAGACTAATCTATTGATAAAGTGTATATATATATATATATATACAGTGGTGTGAAAAAGTGTTGTCCCCCTTCCTGTTTTTTAAATTTTTTGCATATTTGTCACACTTAAAAGATTCAGATCATCAAACAATTTTTTATATTACACAAAAAGAATGCAAGTAAATACAAAATGCAGTTTTTAAATGATTATTTATTTTATTAAGGGAAAAAAGCTGTCCAAACCTGCCTGGCCCTACGTGAAAAAGTAATTGCCCCCTGAATCTAATAACTGATTGTGCCACGCTTTGCAGCAACAACTGCAATCAAGTGTTTGCGATAACTGGCAATGAGTCTTTCATATCGTTGTGGAGGAATTTTGGCCCACTCTTCTTTGCAGAATTGTTTTAATTCAGCCACATTGGAGGGTTTTCGAGCATGAATGGACTGTTTAAGCATCTCAATTGGAGTTAAGTCCGGACTTTGACTTGGCCTCTCCAAATCCTTAATTTCGTTTTTCTTGAGCCATTCAGAGGTGGACTTGCTGGTGTGTTTGGGATCATTGTCCTGCTACATAACTCAAGTCACAAACTAATGGCTGGACATTCTCCTTCAGGATTTTCTGATAGATTTCATAACCCTTTCCAGACTGATACATGTCAACTGTTTTGATTCTCATCTGTTCTGTTCTGTTGGATTTCTTTAGATCGTGACATGATGTGTTGCTCTTTCAGCATGCTTCACTTTGTCAGACAGGTTCTATTTAAGTGATTTCTTGATTCAACAGGTCTGGCAGTAATCAGGCCTGGGTGTGGCTAGTGTAATTTAACTCAGCTTTCTAAAATAATGTGGTTAATCACAGTTCTTTCATGATGTAACATGATTTTTCATTAATTTTTCACGTAGTGCCACGTAGGTTTGGACAGCTTTTTTCCCTTAATAAATGAAATCATCATTTAAAAACTGCATTTTGTATTTACTTGCATTATCTTTGTGTAATATTAAAATGTGTTTGATGATCTGAAACATTAAAGTGTGACAAACATGCAAAAAAATAAGAAATCAGGAAGGGGGCCAACACTTTTTCACACCACTGTATACCGTATATATATGTATATAAGAGCATTGTGAGCCAACAGCATTATGGGACATTTCATGCCAATTTTTCACTTTAGGAAATTAATTTATTCCTAAATTCAAATTCAATGTGTTTATTTCCACAGTTAATAAAAATGAAAAATATACATTTCCAATTAAACGTCCTTTATGGTGCATTTGACACAATGTTCTCACTATGCCAGCAAACACTAAAGTTTGACAATTAATTTTCAGCTGAGCAAATCTGAAGATAATCATACATGTTTTGATCTGAAAGCTAATTTTATATGGTTTAATATGTTTCCATTCTCCAGAAGCAGAGACTAAGAGAAGGGAACCCCTGCTTAAACAGAGAAAAGGTGCAGAGTTATTGTTTTTTTTCTCAGATCAGAATATTAAATATAGATAGGCATTTGTTTGTGGAAGAATATTGTCCTGAAGTCCTTTTTATCGCCTCCTCACTAACATTTGCTCATCAGAAAAAGAGGCTCCAATAAGAACAAGACTAGAGAAAGCAAAGAAAGGTAAAAAAGAACAAGCACAATGTGTGCCTGCCTTTATATATCATCATACCCATACTTGTTTCAAATGATTTTTATAATCATTATAATCGATGAATATTGCAGAATCAAATTTGCTCTCTGCTTCACAGCTCCAAAACCAAAGGCAGCGGCTGTCAACATACCCAAAACGAGAAGTAAATCCACATGATCTGATCATACTTTACTTCTTTAAAGGGATAGTTCATCCATAAATAAAAGTTCTGCCATCATATTCACCCTCATGTCGCTACAAACTCATGTGACTTTCTTTCTTCGAGGAAGATACTTTGCTGAATGTTCACACCCTCTTTTCCACATAATGTACATGAATGGCAATGAGAGACTATCAAGCTCTAAAAATGACAACAACAAAAAAAGCACCATAAAAGTGGTCCATATAAATTGTGAGCGATATTCCAAATCCAAAGATCCAAGTCCAAATCCAAGATTCCAAATCTGCAAAATTAAATATGCACATATTCAAATCACACAAATTCAACCTACCGTGGAGAGGAAGATTTTGAGTGCCAAACAGCTTATGTGTTAATTATTTTGATTTATATAATTAATTATATGATTTCAGATACTGGGCACAAATCATATGCTGTTATAATGCTTTCACGTCATTTCTGGAGCCTGAAAGGCCCTGGATACAATTTATTTTCATTATAGGCCTATATGAAAAAGAACAGCATGAACATCCTGCTTAACATCTTCTTTTGTGTTCTACAGAAGAAAGAAATCATACAGGATTTGATCAATGAGTGAATGATGACAGATTTAAAATTTTTGGCTCAACCGTTGATGGCAAATTTGAAATTCCATTTGATCTAACTATATGACAGCGGTGCTTTCCCTTCTCCTAATAACAGGATCTCGAGCCTCAGAGGACATGGAAGTGTCAGCTGCTCCAGCTCCGATACAGGATCGTGAGTGCAACTCATAGCCTTGTGACTTTTTAATATTACATTCCGTTACATTCACATAATGCAAAAAGACAGCAGCAATAGCACGCAATCTACAGTCAGTCTGTTGTAACTCTGAATCTTTCTTTTCACAACCTGGTGAAACAGTTCCTATGTGCCGACCAACACCTGTGTACTGCCCAGCGCCACCTGGTTGGTATGGTGAGTAATACAGTCACCTACAATTACAGTAACTCAATGTGCTTTACATAAAACGCTTTTAAACATACTTCAAATGTTCTTTAATGCCCTGAAATGTACTTCATCTTTTATATTACAGTGCATCATATAGTTACAAGTAGCCCATTACCACCATCGGCTATTCCAGGTATTCAAAACTATTTTAATGCACTTATACAGATGATTGACATCTGTTATTATTACTAATTAAATCATGTGGCTATCAATGCCAAAAATATTAAGAATTAATACATCACAAGAGTTTTTAACACCACTGTGTTTTTCAGAATCAGAAGTTCCGATTTTAACAACTCATCAAGCTCCAACTTTACTGAAAGGTGTTTACCGCAAAATATATTTGAGATTTAATTCGACATGATAATAATTTACTATTTTTTTAAAAGAAATCTGATGTAATGTTTCCTTTGCTTAAGAACCAGACGCTGCTAAGGCAAAGCCAAAACAAGCCACTAAAAAGAAAGGTATAGTAGTAATTAGTCTCGAGTTCGTGCCAGTAGTAAGAATGTATTATATTTTTCAATTTATGTTAACAGACCTGAAGCAAGTAATAACCTTTGACCTTCAATTTCAGAACCAGCTGCGCCAAAAGAAAAAGCCAAAGCAGCTCCTACGAAGAAGGGTGAGATCCGATTTAAAATGAAAAGGCAGTATGTGAGTTTATAATACCACTAATCATGTTGGAGAAGATGCTTTACTCAGTGTTTGTCATTATTATAACAACATTGTTATATATTTTGTATGTGTGGATTTGAATTTGTGCATTTATATTTCATTTTTTTGTGTGTTCAAGAGCCCACAGTTACTAAAGCCAAAGTAAAACCTGCAGTGGCAAAGAAAGGTAAGGATAATAGAAAAATGATGGCTAAATTAAAATTTTAGATTTATTTTCTTCCTAAATAAATCATTTTTTTATGATTTAGGGCTGATCGCTGTGAAAGAGAGGTCTAAAAGGACAGGTAATTATGGTTCAGGAAGACTTTGCAGTAGTTATATATTAATGAGCAGTAGCTTATTATTTCCTCTTTTACAGAGCGAGTGATCACTAAAGAAAAGGCAAAACCTACCTCTACTAAGAAAGGTACATTTTATTGTGGCATATTATTTATAATATATTATATACACATAATGTAATATTATATTTCATGCATTTATCCATTTATTTATTTATTGCATCATAAATTCTCCTGTGTTTACCTGTGAAGTAATACTGATACGGATGCTCCCTTAAAAATTATCAGAGAATAAATATAATTGTCAAGAACTGATGAGATACTTGTTTTTCATTTCCTTTTATTTTGATTCCTTTAAGACAAGTACCGCACCATGAATCTTGAACATCTTTTTCTCACTAGAGCCAGCAGTAACAAAGAAGGCAAAAGTAACAACAACCTCACATAAAGGTAACCTACTGCACAGCTTATACATACAGTACACATATATTTATAGCTTAAATGTATAGCTTTTCATACTCAAAAGCTTAAAGTTCTGAAAGAAGGAAGAAGTCTTAATCCTTGTATTATTCTCTTGTATTAGTTCCTTTAATACTCACAGAAAGAGGTTCAATTGTATCCTAAACTGGGTGTTTAGAAATTGGTAACAGCTATAAATATTTCACACTGGATGATATTTGTCTCGCTTCGTAAGCCACCCCCTGGCAATGTCATAAAATATTCCGCCATGCTGTTTATTTTTTAAAGTGTTGGTCAGAGTTTTGCTGAGAGTAAATATAGTGGTTTCTGCTATACATGTTATACCTTTAGTTGAATTGCACATTGCTCCTTTACTGTACTTTTGGATTGATTGCTTACAAAAGCTTCTAGATTTGTGTGAATTGAAAATGATTTGTTGTTGTATGGTATTCTCCATATGCCATTTTGTTTATTTGCATCTAAACATCAAATGAAATCCAGTCTTATGAAACACTGTTTCTTAAAGAATGTATGGGTATTGATAAATATTACTTGTCATTTATTTGATTAGTTCATAGTTCATCAAATAACTCTATACTCTTTTTGGGGGGGTCACTTCATTGGAAGAAGAGAAAGCTGTAAAGGAAGTGAAGCCCAAAGCAGAGGGTAGGTCATTTTATTGTAAAGTACTGTTTGCAATTAAAGTTGTACTATTGCTCAAATGTAAGGGTTAGGGGTTTGAACAACCCCCTACTGGATATTAAACTCATCTGAACTTATCTGACAACATTAAAAAAAAAATATATATATATATATATATATATTTATATACTGTATGTATATTTAAAAATCTAAAATATAAATATACTATATATAAATATATAGTTTTAATTTTTGAATCTCCTGTTTTTATAAAGAGGTTTCAGTGGGTAAATTTAAAATGAGTAAAATTAGTAATAATAAGCATGAATGTGTTGAAGACCAACTGGATTTTTCAATCAGTAATCCTCCAAACAACTACATTTGAATAATGATTTTGTCCATCTTGAGTGATAGGTCATTGCATTTTCGATTGCTAATAGACTATAATTATTGCATGCAATACTTCTTGACTTCTTGACAGAAAACCAGTATACAGTATTTACGTGCTTTTAACTTCTTTAGTTCATTGAAATCTTCAAAAGGCTAACACATCAAATGCTGCAAGAGCTAGCAATTCCTGTTTAGTGTAATCGACAAGCGTGACTAAAAGTAGGCTAAATATAGTGCTCTTTAAAATGTATACTGTATGCTGTGTTATAATGTATACTGTAGCATCAATCTAATATGTTTGATTATGTTTGATCATTAGTCAAGAAAAAGGCAGCATCAACACCAAAAGCCAAACAAGCTATTAAAGTTGTGGGTAAGTTTTAATGATTATTTTAACAGTGCATTGTAAAAAGCCTGATAGACATCTCTGTATCTTTAAATACCCCCCCCCCCCCCCCCCCCAAAAAAAAGAGAGAAAATATCTTTGATTTCCATTGCTAACAAGCCTAAAACTGGATCTAAAGTTTCCGAATTGTATTCTTGACAACTCACAGCACGAAATAGACAAGCGTGGCAAAATATTGAGGAATTGTTTTTATATCAATTTTCCAATGGATGCTTTGTGTTGTGAACACTGGTACATGTTTTCTTTGTTTTTGTAAAAATACAAACAACTTACTGCATGGATGATTATAAGGTGGATCAAGCAAAAAAAATTAATATTAAAATCTCGCTAGACTTCAGTCGGCACAGGAAAATTGGATCTGTCAAGTTATATAACTTAAGATGAAGTCGTGTCAGAATTTCTCTATTTGTATGACAGGAAGTGCACCTTTCATGTTCTGCTCCATGATTATATAATCACATAACTGAGCATGTGTTCCTGGCACCTAAAGAATAGAAATAACTCTGATTTTAAACTTGATTAAAAGACTTAGCATGGATACTTGACGTGCAATTATGAAGGTGTCAAATTCACAGACTGAAAGAAAATATGACAAGCACTATTTTCCTTCACCTCCAGGAAAACCTGCTCCAGATGAGAAGAAAATGGCAGAAGAAACCAAAGGTATGAAGCAGTCAATACCTCTGTTTTAAAAACTAGTGTGCTGACTATTTAGACATCATTTTAAAGGGGTAAGTCATCCAAAAATGAAAATTCTATCATTATTTATTTACCCTCGTGTCATCTGAGTTGAACTTTTTTTTTTGTATTTTCAATGATTATATGATAATCATTGATTATTTTATTTTATTTTCTAATTATATATTATATTATATTGTTTTCCTGTATTCCACAACATTAGGGTGAGTAAATATTTACTGAAAATCAATGTTTATTTTACAAAAAAAATAATAATAACTAGGCATACATTTAAGATTTATGTACTTAAATGGACATAAATGTGTAGGATTACACAGTTAACTAATATATAAACTAATCAACTTAGTCTATGTAGTGCAGTGAAGTAGAGAAAGCAACCCCCGAATGAAGCTTAGTGGAAAAGTGGTTTATACTGTAAATATATTTCAGTTAATACAGAGAAGTGTTGAAAAAAAATCTAATATTTATTTTGTATCTTTTTACTGAGTATCTAAGTACTGTATCTAAGTACTGCATTGTTCGCTTAGCAATGTGTTAACTGCAAACTCTTTTGCAATCAGTTGGTTAGTCACTTCCATGTGGAGCGCTATTTGTGTGCCCTCAGTCACTTCTGAGGTCAATTTTCAGTTAGAATGCTGCCTAATAGACAGCAAGACATCTCTCTAGGTTTTGGAACAGAGCCCCTGTTTTGCCATCACTTTCAGGTTGATCTTTGCTTACCACAATTCTGTTCTCAAATTTCTTCCTTCAGAGAAAGCAGCCGAGGCACCAGCAAGTAAGTTCAGATGTTTTCTGACACCCATGAGGTGTGGACAAGTATGGTGTGAAGCTGCTTTTTGAGTTTAAATGTAGCCTGTTTGCTTCATATACAGTAATGCTGTACCTAATCATTCAGAAGTCATAAGCAATAATCAAATGCATGCATTTATGTAAGCAGTTTGAAACATCTGCAGACTATAGAAATGCATTGCTAAGCATTCATAGTGATCATGCGTACCTGCATATTGTAGAACTTGGGAGAACTTCAAAAACTTCCAGGCGACTCTGAGGTACAATTCCCTATTCACCGGATGTATTAACTTCACCGTTCAATCAATCAATCAAATGAACCACATTGTTACTATTCAAGGTTCCCACTCAAACCAGAGAGATTAAACTATTTTAAAACAGCATTAGGGAAATTGCAAATTAAATGCAGCTATTAATACACTAATGCTGCTGGCTGGTTGGCCCTGTGTGAACTACTAATGTCATTCTTCTACTGTAATGCCTGCCTACTTTTATTAACAACACAAATCGCTTCACTTGCTTGTTAGAGACTGAAAGTCAAATTGCCTAATCGTTGTGCCACTTTAGTGCGTGTTTTCAGTGAAAACCCTGGGTCTTATTCGCAAACCACTTGCAGTCTAATTTAATGAGGCACTATTCAGTGTACTTATGTTTGTCTTATTTTCCAGTAGAAATAAGTAAATATCCTTAAAGGGGTCATATGATGCTGCTAAAAAGAACATTATTTTGTGTATTTGGTGTAATGAAATGTGTTTATGCGGTTTAAGGTTAAAAAAACACATTATTTTCCACTACTGTACATTATTGTTTCTCCTCTATGCCCCGCCTTTCTGAAACGCGTTGATTTTTTACAAAGCTCATCGGTCTGAAAAAGCGAGGTGTGCTCTGATTGGCCAGCTATCCAGTGCATTGTGATTGGCCGAATTCCTCAAGCGTGTGATGGAAATGTTACGTCTCTTACCATATTGTGATGCCTGCGGCAACCACATGTGACGACCCCGGGCTGGACTCCGCTTCGTCCACAGTGAAAGCTGATCCGACGATCGACAAGTATTTCCTCAGCGACCAGCACGGATCAGCTCCAGGCATGACAAAGCGATATCGTCCTCTTTTGGAAGGCCAAACAAAGTAGTTTCGCTTTCACAACGAATCACACAGCGCATTCACAGTGAGAATAAAAGTTACGCCTTCTTTCTCTGCGTGAACATTTGGGCGGCGTTATACAAATCTTCCCACATAGTGATGTAGACATGTGGGGGCGTGTTAGAACGAGCCGTTTTAGGTAGGCGTGGCTGACTCTTAACTTTTATAAAGAATATCTCTTTGGATTTGAGACTTTAGTCTTTACAACTTTACAGATCTTCTTTATGCACCAAGAGCTTTTCACACTCCAAAGAGAAAGGAAAAATTGAAATCGCATCATATGACCCCTTTAAAACAAGATCAATTTACTTAAGAAGTAACATTATGCAAGAGCTCACTAAATTTTGCTTAACATTGTTTTAACCCTATAAAGCCTACTGTATCATATTTGATACACAAAATTCAAAGGCCTCTAAATTATTAACATGATCAAAACTTAGCTGAAAAACCTGTTGTTCACAATCTACTACATTCCCTCTATCATCTGATTGCTAGTTTGCACTTTTTTAGCAAGTAAAAGACCTTTCGGTAAAACGTTCACATGGCTTTTTGCTGTGAAATCTTTAATGATTTTTAGGAAGTAAACATAAGTCACTTTTATATAGTTACTATTTCAAGGTGAATAATCACTTGATTAAAGCAGCTTAGGTTTACTTGATTTTCCACACATCATTTTTTTTTAGAAAATCATTCTAAAATATCAGTATCTATTATGATACATCAAGAATGTTTATTTGTTTATCTCTCAGTCATCATTGTATTGCATTGCATTATGTGTAAAAAAACCAAACAAACCAAAAAAACAACAACAATAAAATAAAAAATAACACACAAAAAACTACAACGCTTTATTCATAAACTAAGCATTTAAATATGATCTTAGACCATTTTGGGGAGATATATTGACAGATCTCATACAAATTAGAATTGCATCTTACTTTTTGGCTGTATAAATATCAGCAACTGTACCAAATTGCAAATTTTTCCTCAGTTTGTGCCTCTGAATAAAATGGAAGTACTTTTTCCCTCTTCATGTGTATGTATATGAGCTCCATATTCTCCTATATTGTGGTAGATGAGCCATAAAAGCCTAATGTATCAAATATGATACTCAACTCAACTAAAAAGGGTTAAAGAAGTACAGATATTTTTATTGGAAAACAGCAAAAAAAATGGATGATTATGAAAACAGATTAAGTTAATCTGGCCAACAATCAGACATGTTGTCTTCGGGCACAGTTCACTCTGAATTTCCTTCTTAGTTTTTATGTCTATTTTCTGATTCCTTCTGCATGTAATGCATCATGTACAAACAACTTACTGCAAATTGCTTTGATCAGGACTGTCCCCTCAGTTCACCTGCGAATGCAACTTTTGTGTTATTTTAGTGCCACTTATTCTTCAGATGACAATTTCTTATGCTATAGTTGACCAGTACAATATAATATATTAAAATGTGTTTCTCCTTGTAAGTTTAAAGATATGAAATCCCACCAAGGTCTCAAGTGACTTTATTATCAAGTCTGGTTTTCATCCATTTAAAGTAACTTTTGAAGGTCGCCATTACTTTAAAATTCAAGTCTTCGTCTCTGCCTCAGTGGGTATTTGCCGATATCGTGGTCTGCTGCATGTAAAAATTTAAGAACTGAGCTTTGTCATGTCACCTCATAACAACCCTGATAACTAAATGTCACATTAACAGATATTCTTTACTAAACTGAAAGTCCTTGCCCTGTCATTTAAAGATTTGCTTCTGCGACACTTTATATCATATATTGAAATGAGTCAATTTTTTTAATTTCTCTCTCTATTTCAATTAGAAGACCTGAAAGCAGAGGAAAATGTCACAGAAGGCAAAAAGCCAGGTAGAGTTAATCTAATTCTACTGAACTTGTCAACACTAAACATTGCATTATAGCAGTTTTGTTACAGAAATCCTCTGTAAAGGAATTGTAGACACTGTACATCATTATGTTACAGTGCAATATGCAATTTTGCATAACATGTAACCCGTTGCCAGACAAACCTAAAGTACAATATTAGACGCAATATTGCTATTTTCTGTTTGTTTGTTTGTTTGTTTGAACTTGAATTTTGTGATCTATTTACTGGCATATTTTAATACAATAATACATACTTTCTTTCTATTTCTATAATATTGAATAGTTTTTAATTATAAAAATACAGGACCAAATTAGACTGAACACATTTTTAATATTGCAATAAATCAATACATGTATTTTTAGAACTGCTTATTTGTTTGTTTTTTGGCTACAGAAATCTTCAGCATGTACCCTGTTGCTGTAAAAAACCCAAGCACAACTTTATATAAATAGAGACACAATAGCTTTCAGTTATTATTATTATTTTATATTATTTTATTTTTGAACCTGGAGTTTGTGTATTTATTTATTATGCATGTATGTGTAAATATGAAAATATTTGTATATAATAATTGTTTTTATTATAATAAATATTATACAAAACAAATCTCTTTTTTGAAATTACAGTTTTTTATTTTATTTTACAAAACTAAAGTCTTTTTTGATATTACAATAAATATATAAATGTGTTTTTACAAGTATACATTTGATCAGGATTAATTTTTTTATTTATTTTATTTTATACGACCTCAGAACTGAGTAGTCATGCATTCTTTGTATTACAGGCAAGATACCGTACTTCCAGTGTGTTTTAATGAGCTCAAAATCCAGCCAATATCCACTGCGGCCCATGTCCCCTGCTATGAATCCAGCTATTAACCCCACCATGATGAGAGCCATGATGGAGCAGAGGGCCGCATTACTGCAGCAGAAAGCCCGTGCAGCTGGCCAGTAACTGGACGACAGACCCCTGGCAGGTGCAAACTGCTTATGAACTGCTATAAAAACATAGTGCTGCTGGGCTCTCAAGAGCTATCTTCCTAAACCATCAGAAACTTTGGTTAGAAACAAATAATGAGTAGAGGTCCCTGGTTTCTCAATGGACGCTCTCCATTCTTTCATAAGTGATTTTTGAATCTGACCAGTTTCTCAATTTTGACAAAAAAGAGATATAAATAAATTCTAATGTACATTTTGAAATATATTTAATGCATAAACACCTGCCAAAGAAATGTTGTGTTACTGGGCAGATTTACTTTTTTATTTCTTTGAGATCTTAAATCATCTGTTTACATTTTTTGCAGGGAAGATTCTGATGTTGTTTTTTTTCTTATTGTACATAAGACTACTCAGCGGTGAAGCAAATTTAAAACTGGTTAAATAATTTAAGTGTTGATCTAAATATTCAGATATTTATTTTTCTATGTCAGCGTATATGATCCCGTTACGGAAAGAAATCTAACAGCACACACTCACTAAGGGCCTTATCATTTGGCCCAGGCCATTTCCTATGACTCACTGTTAATAAGATTATGTGTAGTGTGTCTGGGTTCTAGCAGGGTCTGCGATCTCTCTGCATTTGTATGCATGGCCATTAGAAAACAGGAGGACGCCATTTGGACGGAATCCGATTTCTATCTTAACCAATGAAAAGAGCTTACATGCTTATAGAATTGAAAGAGACATTAAGAAATGAAGGCGCACAAAAGCCTACAGCCTCTAAATAACGAAAGGCTTTCATTTTACTTGACTGAGACTTTTCTTGAGTATCTCTTTAGTTAATTGAAACCCCTTATTGAAGGTTATTAGATTTATGATAGTGAATTGAATAGTGTATGAATATGTAAAATCTAAATGTTCAAGTAGCAATTGTGCTACTTGTGTAAAGTATACAGTAAATATAGTGTTTGTCCGCCATGCCATAGTTTTCTCTCTTTTCCTAGATCAGCGGTCTTCAGCCTTTTTCAAACCAAACCCTTTGCAGATACACACATTAGCTGCATTTTAGGCCTGGCCTAAAATTTAACACAAATAGTACCATGTTAATGTATTTATCATACATTTTTGCTGGAAGAGCCATGAAGTAATTATTACACAGCCCTGTGTCTTGGGGGGCTGTACATTTTCCTTCATGTACAGAATTAAAATAACAAAAGCAGACAAATGACAATAAAATAAGTATTTAAAAATTAGATTTTTCTCACAAAATCTGTACCCAAGTGGGTTTTGAATGCAGCTTACAAAAGACAAAAAATTATTAGAATGTTCAGTGCGTCATATCATCAGCTGCTAAATTCAAATCTGCGTTAGCTGGCTGGCGCTGAGCTAGAGACAGATGCGTTTATACAGCACTGCGCATTAACCAATCACACACGATGCTGTTGAGCTTATGAATGCAATGACCAATCAGAGGCATTCAGATGAGTCATCGCTAAAAATGCCGGTGTTTTCTTCACTCACTTGCTGCCTGAATACCTCTTTCTGGCGAATTCTCTCGTCAGAAACAACAAAGTGCAAATGTGTGTACGACTCTGTAAGACAGTGGTTCTCAACCTTTTTTTCCACTATGGTCTAAGTGCAAGTCTCACGGGCTGCAAGCATATCATTTACATATTATGTCACCAATACAAACCAACCAGATTTATAATAGCCTATTATAGCCTAAATATTATGATATCTAATTGATTACATTAACTGAAATAAATAAATAAATAATTATACTCCCCATTAATAAAACACCTGATGCTGTCAGGAGCTGACCAATTTTGTGAAATTCGGCTCGAAAAGAGTAACAGCACAATGAAGTTGCCATTGTAAGTTGCAGTCTGTAAGACGCGCATGGAAGCGTGACTTGACGCGCCACATTGCAGAAAATGTGCGTTCACAAATGTAGCCTATGTTGATCCAAATATGGAAAGCACTTTCTAATTTAATAATCTGAGTTTCTCTCCAGAGATGTTTTGCCACATTTCTGCAATTAAGAATGATTGCTGCATAGTATGGGTGTTTCCTTTTGCCTGAACTAGAGCCTTGCATTTCAGCCCGGGCCCAAAGGTCCCCGACTTTTTTACGCCCCTGGGGCCGGGCTTCGGGACAATTTTCACATCATAAGACGCGGACCAGGCATCGGGCTTGTTTTAGGCTTCTCCTTATTTTTATATTTTAGACAACCATCAATTAGTGAATTAGTGATGTTTTTTGCCATGCTGGTGGAAACAACACGAGACCGTGCTGCCACGACTGTCAAGAGTTGCTCGACGGCGTGACGGCGTTAGCTGCAGCAGCATGTATGCCGTCAGCGTAGCTGAACAGTTCTGCGTTCAAATGCACGCAATAGGCTAAAGCTTGCCGCAAAATGAAAAGAGCTTACATGCTTATAGAATTGAAAGAGACATTAAGAAATGAAGGCGCACAAAAGCCTACAGCCTCTAAATAACGAAAGGCTTTCATTTTACTTGACTGAGACTTTTCTTGAGTATCTCTTTAGTTAATTGAAACCCCTTATTGAAGGTTATTAGATTTATGATAGTGAATTGAATAGTGTATGAATATGTAAAATCTAAATGTTCAAGTAGCAATTGTGCTACTTGTGTAAAGTATACAGTAAATATAGTGTTTGTCCGCCATGCCATAGTTTTCTCTCTTTTCCTAGATCAGCGGTCTTCAGCCTTTTTCAAACCAAACCCTTTGCAGATACACACATTAGCTGCATTTTAGGCCTGGCCTAAAATTTAACACAAATAGTACCATGTTAATGTATTTATCATACATTTTTGCTGGAAGAGCCATGAAGTAATTATTACACAGCCCTGTGTCTTGGGGGGCTGTACATTTTCCTTCATGTACAGAATTAAAATAACAAAAGCAGACAAATGACAATAAAATAAGTATTTAAAAATTAGATTTTTCTCACAAAATCTGTACCCAAGTGGGTTTTGAATGCAGCTTACAAAAGACAAAAAATTATTAGAATGTTCAGTGCGTCATATCATCAGCTGCTAAATTCAAATCTGCGTTAGCTGGCTGGCGCTGAGCTAGAGACAGATGCGTTTATACAGCACTGCGCATTAACCAATCACACACGATGCTGTTGAGCTTATGAATGCAATGACCAATCAGAGGCATTCAGATGAGTCATCGCTAAAAATGCCGGTGTTTTCTTCACTCACTTGCTGCCTGAATACCTCTTTCTGGCGAATTCTCTCGTCAGAAACAACAAAGTGCAAATGTGTGTACGACTCTGTAAGACAGTGGTTCTCAACCTTTTTTTCCACTATGGTCTAAGTGCAAGTCTCACGGGCTGCAAGCATATCATTTACATATTATGTCACCAATACAAACCAACCAGATTTATAATAGCCTATTATAGCCTAAATATTATGATATCTAATTGATTACATTAACTGAAATAAATAAATAAATAATTATACTCCCCATTAATAAAACACCTGATGCTGTCAGGAGCTGACCAATTTTGTGAAATTCGGCTCGAAAAGAGTAACAGCACAATGAAGTTGCCATTGTAAGTTGCAGTCTGTAAGACGCGCATGGAAGCGTGACTTGACGCGCCACATTGCAGAAAATGTGCGTTCACAAATGTAGCCTATGTTGATCCAAATATGGAAAGCACTTTCTAATTTAATAATCTGAGTTTCTCTCCAGAGATGTTTTGCCACATTTCTGCAATTAAGAATGATTGCTGCATAGTATGGGTGTTTCCTTTTGCCTGAACTAGAGCCTTGCATTTCAGCCCGGGCCCAAAGGTCCCCGACTTTTTTACGCCCCTGGGGCCGGGCTTCGGGACAATTTTCACATCATAAGACGCGGACCAGGCATCGGGCTTGTTTTAGGCTTCTCCTTATTTTTATATTTTAGACAACCATCAATTAGTGATGACATTTATTTTTTTGCCATGCTGGTGGAAACAACACGAGACCGTGCTGCCACGACTGTCAAGAGTTGCTCGACGGCGTTTAGTGTCCAGCAGCAGCAGCATGTATGGCGCGTGCCGTCAGCGCAGCTGAAGAGATCTGCGTTCAAATGCAGCAATAGCCTTAAGCTTGCCGCAAAGCACCGGCAAAAGTATTTACCATGAATGTGTCAGGGGGAAATAATAAGGAGATATTTGAATTATTTACTAATAAACTAGTGTTTTCTGAGTCGGTGTCGCAAGGATGAAGTTGCCGATCTTGACTCGCCATCTCCTCAGACGCGCCTTTAGAGAGAAGTGCATCTTTAAGGATTATGAATATAATGAAAGTTTTTGTTTTTTATTTATTTTATTTTGTTTAGTAATTTAAAGCTTTCTATAGATATATTTATCATGTCTGTGAGGCGTGTATTCGCTGAGTTTCGGTTCATTTTTGTAAGCGCTCCTGTTCAAGACCGAGACGGCAGAAAGCGCATTGTGTTTGATTTCTTTATTTTATAAAAGCACAACATTTTGTTGATATTGTGAGTGCACACAAATAAATAGTACAGGTCTGCTCATGTATGAAAATAATATATGAAAAACAAAATTATTTTACATTATAGCTTATATTTGTTTAGTAAATTTTTTAATTAATGTAAAAACTAAAATGAATTGTAAAACTGAAAGTTATTTTTTAAATTGTGTTCAGCATGGTGGGCCGCATTTGAATTTGTGACAGGCCGCGGGGTGAGAACCACTGGATTACATTATTAGTTTACTTTGACCATCATAGATCAACATAATCTATAAAGGTGAGAATCAAGATATTCCATGATATAGTTAATGCGTTTGGGCATGTTTCGAATAAAAAGGAAAAAATAAATAAAACGTAAGGGCTGTTGTGGCTGTATGTCACATGACGACCCCCAACCCCCCTCCCAACTCGTGCGCCCTCAAAAATAATGAATGCGTGACGCCCCTGTTTCTGACACTGTTCGGATGTAGTAAAACACCAATAGATGTAGCTGAAAACATCTGGTCATGTTTGCATTTTATTGGCCATAATTCTAAACTTGAAATCAAGATTAGGCATAAAATAATGTCTTCAGAATCATTTATACATGTAAAAACTGGCTGAGAATTTAATAGCTGCAACCTGCATCATGTCTTTGTGGCAGTTTTTAAGTTTATTAAAAGACTTAAAGACTTCTTCATGCTAGGAATGGTTGTTGAAAGCAAATATGCTACAAAATTCATCATATTTTGTAAAAACAACAACAACAACAACAAAAAAGTGCTAAATCAAACAGGCACTATTTTTGATCAGCACCCCAAAATTTGTAAGAAACAAGTATTGTATTTCATTCAGCAAATATGATGCAGGGCGATGTAATATAATGCTCATAAAAATTCTTTATCATCATTATTTATATACAGAGTCATTTTATTGTACATTATTTTAAATTTGCTTAATATTTTAATGTGAGTGGGACAATTAAATATTTATCTTGATTTTGTTTACCACATTTTTATTTATTTCACACACAAAAAAATAGCTTGGCATTAACAATAATTGGCAGACCCCTTCCAGTCCCACTGTTGAAGACCTCTGGCCTAGACAGTCATCAAACTGTGTGGATTTACTGTAAAATAAAACAGATGTATGTGTATAATATTTGACTTTACTTTGACCAACAGTGATTTTCAAGATGGTGATCTGAGGTCACTGTCCATTCTTGTTCCTGTAACATATTGCACTGTTCAGTGCAAATATTGCAGGTATGACAATTTGAACCATAAATACTTTGTCTTATTCAAGAACACACTGATCTTTATTTTCAGTAACTTAAGGATCAGAATGACCTATATGTCCTTGAATGTATTCACTGCAGTGGAAAAAAATTCAAAATGACAAGAACGAGAGTGAACAGCCGGCCGCATTTAGAGTGCCGCTGTGCATATGGGCTACAGATGGTTATAGAAAGACTGTATAATGTTTATACTGTAGTGACTGCAGCAGAAGGCTGTTTCTCTTTAATCAGGACATAGTGAGACAGTTAGCTGTAACTGCTTGACTTTGAACAGAGAAGTAGGCCAGAGAAATAATCTCACTTTGAAGTTACAACATGCAGCTTCCTGCACAGTGCAGAGAGGACGTCAACTGTACTGTAGATATTCCTAAAATATATATATATATGAATGAACAATAAATATCAATGACACTGTCTGAAACATGCATAAAATAGACATCATTTTTGTCTGACTTTGAGAAAAATCACTGTCAGTTTACAGCGAGAATGCAATGTTTACGAGGTGGAACCTCAACTGTTGATTCTCAGAAGGCTTTGCGCATAGATGTATACAATTCATGTTTAGGGCTTAAAACTTTATATTAAGAGGTGATAAAGGTTGTTCTTACAGTTGTTTTTTTTATGTGTTTGCTATTCGCATGACCCCTGAGAACACTGA